AAGTTCCTTCGCAAAACGGACAAACATAGACAAACTCCCTCGCGGCCACGTGGCCGTCTTTGACACGAAACCGGTTCCCGCACGCATGGCGGTGATCTATTTGGCCTGTGCGCACACTGCTGGTCACAGACGTCTCACAAAAAGGACATGCATATTGGAACCTTTCCATGGGCTTCTCACCTTTCACGTTGCTCACGCAGTCCTTGCAGATACGTCGGTCGGCGTTGCGCGCCTTCCACGCGGCTACCTCGAACGCACTTTCCGGCTTGGCCGTACCGCATCTGTAGCACCGCTTCTGTGCTTCGCGCGTCCGGCACACGCGGTAGAAAGTGCATTGGGGGCGCGCGTACATTGTTGCAAAGGCGTCTTCGTGCTTCCATGCCTTGCAAACTTTGCATTACCAGGGCGTGTTGTTGGCAGCGTGGTTACGTACGCATTCTCTGCAGACCCGTGCGTCCGCGTCCCGTTTCCATTGCCCGGCGCTGTACCCGCTTTTGGGTTTGCTTTCCTGGCACTCGCTGCACACTTCCTCCTCGCGGTACCGCGCGCGCAACGCTGCCCAGTCGATGCTCCCTCCGCGCCCGGCCTGCAACAGCAAAGCTCTCCCCACGCTGCGTCCTTTCTGGTAGGGCGCAGCTTCGAAGGGTCTGTATATGTGTAACCCATGTCTATCTTTCACTCGCGTCACAGCGATGTATGCGGTCAGGGGGTCTCCGCCTTCCGCGATCTGCATGTCCGTGATTACTCCCTCTGCATAAGTTTGGCCTTGCGCCGCGTGCGCCGTCGTGGCAAACCCGGGGGCCAAAGGAAATTGCCGTCGCACCACCCGCAGCAAGGGGCGCTTTCTGCCCTTATCCAGATGCCACGCTTGCCGTTGAAGCGTCACCGGAAAGACGTTGTCCGTGGCCAGCCCCTGCACTCGCCACTCTGACTTGGTCTGGAACCGGACAAAGATACAAGATGGGAGCTGGTTCCAAATATGCGTCGTGCCCGCTGCTGCCGTGCCTGCTGCTCCTTGCCAGCTCCATCCAACAACTTTGCCGGGACATCCCTTATGCCTTTGTTGTTGTAAAAGTGCTTTGTGTTGTTGTAAAAGTGCCCCAACATGGGGCCTTTTCTATCCCACCCGCCCACCTGTCCAGCTCGACTTTGGCGGTTGCCAAGGATTTTGCTGGTTGGTTGTTGTGGGTGAGATTCCATGTTAAATTGGAAGTTTCCAAGGGAAGAAGTTTCAGCCTAAGACCATCAAGTTTGATGGGGCTGATGGTTGTAGAAACCAGGAGTTGCAGATGCTAGCCTGAGGACCTCTGTCAAGTTGCTTGCAAGGAAGTTGTTGCTGGCAAATCAGACCCAACCCATCCCACCCAGCCAACTCCAACTTGGAGTTGGAAAACTTTCTGGTTGGTGGCAATCATCCATGTGTATCTTGGAAGTTTCCAGGGAGGAGGTTTCAGACGCCCATGCAGCCCACCCCAATTGGAGTGTGATGGTTGATGTTGGTGGTTGGTTGTAGGCGCGTTTCTGCATAAAGGTCCTAGGGAAGAATTTTCAGAGAGCAGAAAATATCCCACCCCCCAATTTTCAAATTGGAATGAGAAACGTTTCTAAGCCATGCACACAGAGAATTGAGGCCTTGCAAGAAGACAGGTACATCAAAGCGGTGCCTGCAACAAGTGGAAGCACCCCCACCACCACCTCTCATAGGAAGTTTCATTCTACATAGCAATCTCGCCACTAGTGCCACACTGCAACGCATTTGGCTTGGCAAGACAAGAGGGGGGGCAGGGCGAGCGTATAATTGAGAACAATGAGATTGGGTGGTTACTTGATGGCGCACTGATGCGCTTGATTGCTCACTGTGCTGGGCGCTACGAGTGGCTGTGGCAGTGCAGTGTTTGTTTGGTGTTTTAGCATGGGAGGGCACTGTGTGGGCCGCCCACTTCTCTTTCCCGCTGCTTTCCAGAAGTGGTTTCAGAAGTGAATTTAGGCAGGCAGGCAAGCAGGAAAAACAAGACTTTCAAGGTTTCGTCATGTGCAAAGTCTTGAAGTCTTCTCGCAGCATCCATGTCAGTGCACAAGCATGCGAGATTTAAAGGCCCAGCTGGCAATTTTCCTCTTGGGTTGGCCAAGGACGGGGCCATGATGCAAGAAATGCGTGCCCCAAACCAGTGTTCATCTGGGCCCTTAAATAAAGGCCCAGATGAACACCGATTTGGGGCCCGCATTTCTTGCATCATGGCCCCGTCCTTGGCCAACCCAAGAGGAAAATTGCCAGGCCCAGCAAGATTCAGAAGCATCCTTATCCCTCCAAAAGTCTGCTGCAGCAGCCATCATGGCAAAGCGTGGGCAGAAAGCGCCAAAACGAGGCCCTTTGAGGAGTGCACGAAGCCGGGTGAAGATCAAGTGCGGGCTCCACAAATGCAAGACAGGGACAGATGCCAAGAACAAGCCCTACGAGCTTCCAGTGGCAAATGTGAACGTCGACCTGTGCCGAACCCTACGTTCACACACAAAAGTGGTGAAGTTTTGCTGCAAAGCTCACATGGTCCAGTGCACTGCACCAGAGCCACCTGTAAAACGAGGAGGGCGGGAGCCCCTTACCACACCACAGCTCCACAGTTTGTTCTCCACCCTGGTTGAAGTCTGCCACACTCCATGGGCAGGTGCCCTGATGGTGCTACAACTCTGCTTAGGCGAGCGTGCTGACGCTGCCAGGCAGTCGTCTACATGTTGGTTTCTAAACATGGCACCAGGCTCATCAGATATGCCTACGTGCAACATCCCCCGAGTGAACTTGAAGACCACTGAGCGCTCAATACCTCTTGATCGCTCCTTTGCAAACCTCCTATGGACCTGGATGACACGTGAGCCTTTGGCGGATCAAGGATACCAATGGCCGTTTCCACAACGGCGTCGAAGGAATCCCCCACGCTCAAGCTGTTGTCTACAAC